AAAAAAAAAAAAAAAAAAAGAAGTATAAAATGAAATATTCATAAAACCATGAATGGGCTGGCAGATAACAGCAGATCAAAAGTTCCAATGACAGAACTGTCAGCTGGATGGGTAAACCATGCAAGGACACCAAATTAAACTTTCATGCACCACTTCTGAATAAAGTACTTAAGCAAAACAAACAAGAAACAAAGGAAGACAACACCACCAGATTAAGGAAAAGACAGAACTAATTTAAGGGTATAATGCAGAGAAATGCAGGGATGACAGCCATTAGGCAGTCCTAGACAGGTATAAGGGCACATGCAAACAGTGTGAGTAAGCAGGAATACATGAGACATAGTAAAGAACATGTACATTTCTTCAACATGCATTAGAAATGCCAGGGAAAAGAAAAAGGCATATAAGTCAGCTATGACACAAATAATGAAAAAGCTGATATAATTTTCAGTAAGTGATAGTTAAGGAATAAAATGCTTAAAACATCTGTTCAGTGACCCAAATATAAAGGACCCAGCTTCTCCTCTGTGATTATCCAACAAATAATACATACAGGGGCATAATTATAAAATCTGTTTGACTAATTTTCAATTTTTAGAGCCAACCAACAGAGAGCTCACAACCAGCAAGAGTTCAAGGGGGGTAAGGGGATGGGGGGAGTTGGGGAAAAAGATAGAGCATTAAGATACAGCCTAATAAACTCAGAAACAGGTCTAGGAAAGAGATTTAAGGCTCGGCACCTGTAGCTCAGTGGCTAGGGTGCCAGCCACATAAACCAGAGCTGGTGAGTTCAAACACAGCCCAAGCCTACCAAACAACAATGACAACTATAAGCAAAAGTTAGCTGGGTGTTGTGACGGGCACCTGTAGTCCCAGCTACTTGGGAGGCTGAGGCAAGAGAATTGCTTAAGTCCAAGAGTTTGAGGTTGCAGTGAGCTGTGATGCCACAACACTCTACCGAGGGTGACATAGTGAAACTCTGTCTCAAAAAAAAAAAGAAAAGTATTTAAAGTTATAAAAATGACCAAGACAAAAATAAAAAATTGGGAGGTGAAATAAAATTACTCATTTCTGCTTAAAGTTGATCCAATCAATATACAGAAATATAAGCACATTATTTTGAGATATAGAGGGAAATACCACAACTCTTACAACAAAGAGGATTTATAAAATGCTTATCTTGGCTCGGCACCTGTGGCTCAAGCAGCTAAGGCGCCAGCCACATACACCTAAGGTGGCAGGTTCGAATCCAGCCCGGGCCCACCAAACAACAATGGCTGCAACCAAAAAAAATTAGCCGGGCGCTGTGGCGGGCGCCTGTGGTCCCAGCTACTTGGGAGGCTGAGGCAGGAGACTCGCTTGAGCCCAAGAGTTGGAGGTTGCTGTGAGCTGTGAAGCCATAGCACTCTACCCAGGGGCTCAGCTTGAGGCTCTCAAAAAAAAAAAATGTTTATCTTGGGAGTGATGGAGTATCTACGTACTGTAGGAACAACTTATGCACATTTCTTTTTATAGTAACTTTAAAATGTAAATTTAGACTTAATGTGATGGTTAGAAACTAATGCATTTTACGAGCTAGACAAGGAAACACAGGACCCTATGTCTTGGCCTCCCATTTCTTTAGATGAAGTATAATAATGCAACTTATGATTTTTTTCAGAGTGTTTCATACAAAAAGTTAAGTAAAGGGGTGGTGGATAGGGGAAAGTTGCACAGGTTAATAAATTTTAAAAAGAAAGGTAAAAGTAGGGCAGAGCCTGTGGCTCAAAGGAGTAGGGGCCAGCCCCATATGTCAGAGGTGGCGGGTTCAAACCCAGCTCCGGCCAAAAACTGCAAAAAAAAAAAAGAGGTAAAAGTCACCAAGGGAAGTAGGAAAGGTAGTAAATGCTAGAAATGCTAACTTTATAGTGGCATAAATCCACATAGTTCTATAATTATTTCTAGTAATCCAGTTGCTTGGCTGATCCAAATTTCAGGTCTCCTTTATGGCCAGAGACCATTAAGTCTATCTACAGTGACAGTGTCAGTGATCCGGTGAGATATTCACTGGAAAGGAAGTGAATGTAAGAGATGGCAGATTAAAAGAACAAAAAACAGAGTACTACTCTTTTTTTTTTTTTTTTTGCAGTTTTTTTTTTTGACTGGGGCCAAGTCCGAACCCGCCACCTCTGGTATATGAGGCTGACGCCCTATCCCTTTGAGCCACAGGTGCCGCCCCAGAGTATTACTCTTGATATAAGGTCAAAGAGTAGTATTGTAGAGTAAAACCTGATTAAGCAGAAATATAAGTTTAATATTTCAAAAGCCAAACTGTTGTGGAATACAAGGATCCAGACAAGGTGAAGGCGTCTTAGTATAAGGAAGAGATGGGCAAGACTGAGAGGAAAAGCAATGCCACAAGCCAAATGTCAGAGTCCCGTAAAACACAAGTGGGAATAGCCAGGAGGCAGATAGCAGCAAAGAACAGGACTGGACAAGACAGAAGATAAACACCAGGTCATCAAGAAAGCATTTTAGACAGAAAGGGACCATGACGCTGTAGAAACAGCAGTAGGAAACAGGAAGAATGCCCAAGGGGCAACCTCAGCACTCAGGGCACAGGCTCTTTAATGGAGACATCAGCAAGCCCAGCCCTAAAGGTATCATCTGGACTAGTCTACACTAGTCACCAGATACTGTTGCTTCTCAGCTTCATTACAGCCTTTACCATTGGAAGGTATCCTTTTTTTTCTTTCCTCACTCCGGATTAAGTAATAATTCAATACCTAAAGAAACACCTAGTGATAAATAATTAACGTCTTACCCCTACTTTCCGTAAGAGATCCCCAACAATATTGAGTGCTGATATCCTAGCAGAAGGAGTTAGTGGACTGGTACCAAAACCATTTGGTATAGCTAGAGAAAAAAAAAAAAGGTAAGTGATTACAATCACAGTTCCCTTTATATTTAAGTTTTGTTGATGTTACAAAGTAGTGTACATTTGGTGCAGTATCAAAATACAGTTACCAACTATGGATAAAGTAGCGTGGAGATACCACAAATAGGTTTAACCGTTCTCCAATTGATGTAGAGTTAGATCATATCCAATTTTTCACCATTACAAATAATGCTACAAGGATAGATAGAAATATCAAATATTTCTACAGAAGAGATTCCTAAAATAAGAACTGCTAAATTATAGCATATATCCATTTTCTCACCTTTATAGATACCCCCAAAATCTCTCTAAAATGGCTGTGCTATGGCAGCATAACTCACAGCAACCTCAAATTCCTAGGTTCAAGCTATCCTCCTGCCTCAGCCTCCCTGAGAAGCTAGAAGCATAGTACCTGCCATGACACCCAGCTAATGTTTCTATTTTTAGTAGAGGATGGGGTCTTGCTCTTGCTCAGGCTGGTCTCAAACTTCTGAGCTCAAGGGATCTACCTGCCTTGGCCTTCCAGAGTGGTAGGGTTATAGCCCGAGCCAAGGTACCCATAGCACAGCCACTATTCAGCAGAACTGACAGTGAGGGCTCCTGATGACAGCAATCCTATAATCTACACTTTCCTATAATCTATACATACATCCTCAGCAAACTTGGCACATACTATTGCAGTTACTAACACCTTATTGACTCTATAGCATTTCCATTCCACAGTCACCTCTTAACAACACGAAGACAAGTTGAATTAACTATTCCACAGCTATTGAACGCTTGAAATATGGCTAATGTGGTTAAAAAACTTAATTTCATATTTCATTCCATTTAAATTAAAAGGAATTTTAACAGTCACATGGGCTAGTGTCTACTGTATTGGGCAGCACAGATATAGAGAACTTACTGCACTAACTGCCCACAAAGCAAGCAAAAAAACTTCTCACAGCACCCAAAGGTCAACTCTCATATTTTAAAAAGGGGTGGGAGGACAGAGAGACTCAGTATAGGGTGGCAAAAAAAAAGCATGTGGGAGCAGGAATAGCTGAAATATGATCTACAAGCTACAAAATCTAAACAAATCTGAATTGAGAGCTTTAGGATTACATTTTAAGTTTTTATCTGGTGGCTATTAAATGCTTTTTCAGCTTATCTGATTTAAAAAACACACCAGCTGATGACAAAAGCAGTATTTTCCATGTACTGATCATCATTATTCTGAATGTCACCTGTGAAAATGGCAGCTCCTGAAACATGTAACAGAATATGCATGTCCACCCAAGCCAGTTTTACATGAGTCTGAACAGTAACTTGCTGATTCCCTGCACATTCTGTATATAAGAGCCTCTAATCTCCCCATTATATGGTATGTGGCCAAAGAAATAAAACTGTTTTTAAATATGATCCTAACACACATGTGTGAAAAGGAGGTGTACACTAACACACAACAGGAAAAAAATTTTTTTTTTTTTTTGTTTTAGACAGAGCCTCAAGCTATCGCCCTGGGTAGAGTGGAGTGCTGTGGCATCACAGCTCACAGCAACCTCTAACTCCTGGGCTCAAGCGATTCTCCTGCCTCCGCCTCCCAAAATAGCTGGGACTACGGGCACCCGCCACAACGTCCGGCTATTTTTTGGTTGCAGCCGTCATCGTTGTTTGGCAAGCTGGGGCTGGATTTGACTGCCAGCTCAGGTGTATGTGGCTGGTGCCTTAGCCACTTAAGCCACAGGCGCTGAGCCAGGAAAAAATTTTTAAATGTTAATGGTAGGTGCCTTTAATAAGATAACAGCTGACTTTTATTTTCCCTTTTCTGCATTTTTAAAATTTTCTGCATTTTAGCGGTATATGAACATGTACTACCACTATAATAAAAAAATAAACCTTCCTTAAGAACCTTCAACTTTTAAAAATCTTGATTTATTAAATTGCTCTTAAATGCAGCCATCATCTCATTCTTTCCTACATTTAAGTGACCTAGGAAAACAATTCCTTCTTCTGCTTCACAAAGCACTAGACTTAACCAACTTTTAAACTGAAACTACTCTTTAAACCTTAGCAACCTACTTCAACAAATCTTCCATCAACCACCTCAAAAAGAAATGGCATGACATACCTTTTGGTGAGGGAAAACTGTTTTCTGTTCCTTTGCCAACAGGAGTAGCTGGCAAAGAGAGTGATGCTTGGACAGCAGAATCCATTTTTTCACAATCTAGAGTTGGAGAACTAGGAGCCGACTTTCTGGTTACTTCCTGTTGTCTTTCCCGAACTGCTAGTTCTTGCCTTAAATCTGTAAAGTGTTGCAAACAAAGGCAGTAATACTAACCAAAAGGAGCAAATACATCAAGCAAAGCCACATCTGAAATGTCATATTCTACCTAAATCACTATTTTTCAAAAATTCATTTCCTGGCTCGGCGCCTGTGGCTCAAGTGGCTAAGGCGCCAGCCACATACACCTAAGGTGGCGGGTTCGAATCCCCAGCCCGGGCCAGCCAAACAACAATGGCTGCAACCAAAAAATGGCCGGGCGTTGTGGCAGGCGCCTGTGGTCCCAGCTACTTGGGAGGCAGAGGCAGGAGACACGCTTGAGCCCAGGAGTTGGAGGTTGCTGTGAGCTGTGAAGCCATGGCACTCTAACCAGGGGGACAGCGTGAGGCTCTGTCTCAAAAAAAAAAAAAAAAAAATTCATTTCCTATTTAATAACTTTCATTTCTAGGAAAATAAAAATGACAACTGTCTAAATAACCTCTTAGAATTTAAAAATGCTACAATCTAAGAGAACAGTAACCTATGTCCCCATGCAAACAGGAACAGGGCAGAGTCCAAAGCAGAACTCACAGTGAATTTTAAATTGCTCTGAATATGTTTTTCTTTCTTTCCTTCTTTTTTTTTTTGAGATGTAGTCTTACTCTGTTGCCCGAGCTAGAGTTCTATGGTGTCACCCTAGCTCACAGCAAAGTCAAACTCCTAGGTTAAAGTCATCCTCTTGCCACAGAAGGATGTACCACACAAAAATATTCTTTACCAACTCATTTGCTTTAATTTTGAAATGATGTAGTTTTGGGATTATGCAAAATCAATGAAGTGCATGTTTGTAAATTTTTTTTTTTTGGAAGACAGTCTCATTTTGTTGCCCTTGGTAGAATGCCAAGGCATTATAGCTCACAGCAACCTCAAATTCTTGGGCTCAAGCGATTCTCTTGCCTCAGCCTCCCAAGGAGCTGGGCCTACAGGCGACTACCACAATGCCCGGCTATTTTTAGAGACAAGGTCTCACTCCGGCTCAGGCTGATCTTGAACCTGTGAGCTCAGGCAATCCACCCACGTCGACCTCCCAGAGTGCTAGGATTATAGATGTGAGCCACTGCGCCCGCCTCATTTTTGTAATTTTTAATGGATGGGTATTCTTTTTGTATCAATTATCACTATGAAATAATTTATTTTGGAAAAGAAATATTTAGACCTGTCACGCCTGTAACCCTAGCACTCTGGGAGGCTGAGGCAGGTGGACTGTTGAACTCATTAGTTTGAGACCAGCCTGAGCAAAAGCAAGACCCCTGTCTCTACTAAAAATAGAAAAACTGGTCTAAGAATATGGGGAGGGGGGAGGGAGAAGGGAGGGGGTAATGGGTGGAGGGAGGGAGTTTGGAGGGATTACTTCTGAGGTTTACCTTATAGGGGTACAGGTGAATCTAAGAGTAGAATGTGAATGTTTTAAAGCAATAACTGAGAAAA